GGACATTTCGAATTTGCACTGTCGTTTTGTACAGGCCGAACTTCGGAGCTAAACTGAAAACCGGTTCTGCTCGATGCCAGCGCCAACGGACCCAACGGTTTCGACTAAACGTAACAATAGAAATAAAAGCCATCTACCAGGGGTGCGTTCCAAAACCTACAGTAAAACTATAATTACATCTCTATACGTTTTGGATCGCAGCCCTGAAAGGTAAAATCCCCGCTCCGGGTGAGTATACCTGCTGCGTGCTATTAGAGCCTCGACGCTGCTCAAGAGATTTGTTGCGCTCGGAGGCCATAACTTCCGAACGGCTGCGAATTTCGATTTAAAACGTTGGGAACATATTCTTACAATGTTAAATAAACATTTTATGCAAAAAAAAAAAATTCGATTTTTTGAAAGTTCTAATTGGATTTCCCCCCTTAATTCGGGCCTTGAAACGCGAGCACGTTATTTTTAATTGTGCGCTGTCCATAAATACAAACGCTGCCTCGATAGCGACCCAGAGAGAAACTGCATTAGGATGTCTAGTCTTGTTAGTAATCCTCTCGATTACGCCCCATACATAATAGTCGAGGGGATTCAAGTCAAGACTGTTAGGAGGCCAGAAGTCCAGACGTTTCGTGCTTTAACGAGCACAAGAGAAAGTGACAGCGAGTATGTCTTTTCTGCTTCGCGGTTTCTGAGAGTATTTGATAGATGTAGGATGTGTATCGAAGGTCGTCTTGAGCAATTTGCCACATAATAGTTTGGTTCACCCCCAAAACAGATGCCAATTTTCGAAGAGATGTCCCCGGATCTTCCAAAATCAGCTTTTGCGTTCTTCGTTTTAGCTCTGGAGTTCTCGTCGTCTTTTGCCGCACTTGAACTTTGACTTCTCTAAAGCCTCATATCTTTGGGCAACGTCGTACACTGTTAATCAGTAGTATCCGAAGAACTTAATAATCTCCGTTAGTGTCCGTCCGGCGAAGACTTTCGACAACCGCTAAATCTTATGGAAAAAAATATTAAACATCTATTTTTTATTACAGAATTTTATTCTACGTAAATAAATTAACAACTTTTGTTTAAAAAAATTTTTTTTATACAACCACTATTTTCTAAGATACTTACGGAAATATTTACAAAATTATTGGTTTCAATAATTGTAAGAGATTAATGAAAAACGTACGCTGAATAGTTAAGGGAGGAATGCTCGCGACTCAATAATATAGCAAACAGATGTCAGCGCGCGGATTATATCACTACGATCCTACGTCTTGCCGCACTGCGCCGAGACTAGAGGTTGCAATCCCGCAAAGCGGAATCTCACAATTCCGCAAGATCCCGCGCTATTTTTTTGATCCCACATATGTTAAGAGCTGCGTGATCCCGCGGGGTTTACGGGATTGTATGCGTCGGTGACGTAGCGCCACGAATTTTTTCTCTTCCTTGCTACCATATGTTAAACGACTGTAATCTGGCATCGCTGTCCAGTATCTTTGTTGACGACGCGTGTGGAGGGAGAGTCCGCTTACGTGCGCGAACTTGAAATTGTATGACGAGTTACCTCGAGCAGGAACGTGCAGTGATATGAAATAATGAGCGCGGTGTTTCGTATCTCTGCGACTTTTACCTTCTCCATGGTTGTTCTACGCGTGTTACGATTTGATAATCGATACAAAGAAATAAAACGAACGCATGCGTATTTCACCTTGCTTGTTTGGGAGTTTACATATTATTTAAGGCACGAACAGACGAGCGACTTTGTCGTGCAACTCAGTCGTTTATCTGTTCGCACGCGCGCGTGTTGTTAATCAATTTATATATTATTTATTTAATATATGTATTATACTACGTGTTGTTTTTATTGTAGGTATTACTCAAACAAAATATGTCGTCCAGTGAAAAACCGATGTATGATAATGAGAAAGAAAATACTAATAAAACTCTTTGGGATTATTTTGCAAAAGGTAATATTGCCGAAAATGGCAAATGCTTGTTATGCTCTGCCATTATAAAATTAAGTCAACGATTAAGTTGACGGATCAGTGATACACTTAAAAAGTAAATATTATATAGATTTTAAATCGCAATCGCAAACATCTATTTTGAGAAAGAATCAATGTAATGTGTCACAAAGGACACCCCAGCCGCAGATTGCCGACAATTGCGAAAACATAATACTAAAGAAAAAAGCCAAAACAATTGACAACTTTTTTATTCAAGAAAATTCCATGGAAAAAATAATATCTCGAATGATTGCTAAGGATGGTTTCACTTTCAATGCTTTTTGTAAATCTTTAGATTTAAGAAATTTGATTCTGAAGAGTGGTTTTAATCTTCCAACTTCGTCCAATACAATAAGGTCTATACTTATTACATTCTCAGATTCTGTAAAAATCGATATGGTAAATCAATTTACAAAACTTCAAGAACAAAACCAAAAGTTTTCATTAACGTTTGATGAATGGACATCTCGAAAGAATCGCAGATACTTAAACATAAATGTGCATTATAAAGAGAAATATTATAATCTTAGTTTAGTTCGAATCCATGGTTCATATACGGCGGAGTATTGCATCAACATAGTTGAAGAACGTCTGAAGAGCTTCAATCTAAATGTTAAAGACGATATTATTGGTATAACTACTGATGGAGCGAGTATGATGATAAAAGTTGGTAAATTTATGCCTTGCTATCATCAACTTTGTTATGCACATTACATACACTTGCCGTTACTGACGTCTTATACAAAAAAAAAAAAAAATGCGGAGCAAGAGCTGTCAGAAGAAACACAAATACAGTTCAATATATCTGACGATGATGACTTTGAAGATGAAGAGGCTAGCTTGTCAGTAACTTCGAGTTTTTACCTATAAAAATAGTTTGAAATTATAGAGAACTTATTACGAAAATGAGAAATGCTGTAAAGATTTTTAAAAAGTTGCCGACAAAAAATGATACTTATTTACAGAAATATATGCAGGGAGAACACGGCAAAAGATTAGAATTGATTTTAGATTGTAAGATTTGTTGGAACAGTCTACTTAACATGTTAAAACGCTTTTACAACCTAAAAGTATGTACAAAAGCTTTGATCGACATAGAATCGGAAATCCATTTCACTGATAAAGATTGATCTAAAATAAATAACTTAGTTATGTTTACCAATTAAGCTAGGTCTTGAGGTAATATGCAGAAGAGATTCAACTCAGATCACCGCAGAAACAACTTTTCGTTTTATACTGGAAAAATTGGATAAGCAATTTACTCTTCTAAGCATTCATTTAACCACAGCACTTCGTGAAAGGATAAGACAACGTTGCACCGATTTAACTGAAACATTACTTTATTTGCAAAACCCGAATAAATTTGAACATGATTTGAAAAGTTTAAAAGATATTACATTCGCAATGTCTAAAAAACTGTAATACGCAAAGAAATAAAAAATCTGTTGGAAAGAGTTCTCAGTAATATACGCAGAGATAATAATCTAAATAAATCCGATACTGTATCTAACTACTCCGAGGAAAATCAAGATATTCAATAGGAAGATCGAGATATTCAAGATGAGCAGCCTAATTTATCGTTACAAGAAAAGTTAGAGTTTAAATTGCAAAAGGACTATTCCGAAGTAATTGAATTAAAAGGTTCATCAAAAGATATGGATAAAATTATAAAGAAAGAAATGAGTGCCTTCGAGAACGATGGTACAAAACGAAAATATTTACGTATGGCATATAAATATTTATTGACGATTACTCCCACTAACGTAGAAGCTGAACGAGCGTTTTCTGCTGCAAGGTACCTTTAAGATGAGGTACCAATGAGTAGAAGAGAAGTTTGGTGGATAAAACGATTAAAAGTCTTTGCTTTTTAAGATCATATTTTCAAAATTCTATCAATTAAAATTTTGTTCGTAATTTCAATATGTAAATGCTATTGTTAAAAATAGATTTTTTTTTGTTTAAATGTTTATTTTATATATGTTTTTATGTTATATATATGTTTTATATGTTCTTTTTTAAAAATTAAAAGATATAACATCCTAGATAGTACAAATGTCCAAAATCGAGTCATAAGACGTCTTTAGTACGTCTTTAAGACATCTTTAAGATAATAATATTTAAGATAATACCATACACATTTTTAAGATAATACCTTATAAACTTGTCTTAAAGATGTTTTAAAGACGTTTTATGACCCGACTTTAGATATTATGCTGTCTGGGATATTATTTGTCAGTAATTCGTATGTGAATCTAATAACCAAATAGATATTTTTTTGTTTAAATGTTTATATATCTTTTTTTTTTAATAATTATAAGATGTAACATATTATTTGTCGATAACACGTATGTGAATTTAACAACCAAATCTTTAATCTCGCAGGAATCCCGCGGGATTGCAATCTCCAGCCGAAGCGAGATGTAGGAATGCAACGATATAAGTATAGGCAATGATATAGGCGTTGTTTTTCCAATCACCGCGTCCCGATATCCGTGCGTTATATTATTAGACCGCGAACATTCCACCCTCAATAATTAAGCGTGCGTTTTTCCTTAATCTTTTACAATTAATTTCTCGGTTATTATTACGAATATGGTAAAATGGTATAGGACTTTTGTGTTCATCTCAATCCACTCTACATCCTTACGAGAGATTGTGAAGATGAGCTGGAACACTCTGTATATATATGTATGTATATACATATGTATATATTAGGTGGTAAACTTAGTTCCTGCGGTTTTTTTGTTTAAAAAACTCATTTATTTCGACACCAAAAGCAAAAAATACATTAATCGAAGTATTTTCCCTCGCTAGCTATACATTTTTCCCATCTTTCGGGCAACGCGTAGATTCCGCGACGATAGAACAATTGGTCTTTTGATGCAATCCATTCGTCGATCCATTTTCGCACATCCTCGTAATTTCTGAAGTGTGTATCCACCAAGCCGTGCTGCATCGACCGGAACAAGTAATAGTCCGAAGGAGCTAAGTCTGGTGAATACGCTGGGTGCGGGAGAACTTCCCACTCGAGCTGCATCAGTGTTTCTTTGACGGCTTTGGCAACGTGTGGTCGAGCGTTGTCGTGCAAAAGCATGACTTTACGTCGATTGCTGGCTACTGCTGGCCTTTTTT